TGGGCTCTCTGAGGAACAAGAACCTAAAATGGCGTCCGCTTAGTGAGGGCTTTTTGGGAAGGCCCTGACTCCTCAGGAATTTGCAGTGTCAAATCAGATTAAACTATAGGGGAACACCTGATGTGACAGCTGGTGTAGCAGAGCCTGAGAAACCTTGGCCTTAATTGAGCTGCCGGTGAACAAAAGGAATTTCAAAGTGAGGATCTCCAAGGGACGCCAGAAGCAGTTCTCGCAGCATGCAAAATGGCGGCTGCGATGAGCTCTCCAAAATTAGGACAGCGGGTGAAGCCTCAGGCTGAATGACAGTTGTTCTGGGGATGGCCATGGTGCACCAGCGAGATTTGGCTTCAATTTGAAAAAAAGGGGGGGCGGTTGTCCTCGCGGCAAACTAAACTAGAGGCCGCGACGAGCGCGCCCGAATCAATCTGGCGCCGGAGGCTTCGGTCGAATGTCAGCTGTCCTACAGCGTGCCCCCTGGAGCCCACCGCTCAGCTGTGCTGCGGGCGACCTTCTCCGAGCCTCCCTGAAGTCGGTGTTCAGCCGGCTAGCTAATTTGCATCCGAGCAGCTGGAATCCTAGCCGCTGACAATGGCCTGGAACAGCTGTGTCTGAGTGCCAAGTTGGGGAGGGGGAGAATTATCGCAGCGCTGATCGCAGCACTGCGATGAAAAGGTTTGAAGAATCCACGAATGGGAAGATCATACGACCTGCTAAGTCTGCAATGGAGCCAACAATTATGCGTCCTGCTGGGCAAGAGACTAAGTCGTAACTGGGTAATATTGGCCCAGCAGGAGGCATGGCAACTCTGTCAGACTTAGTCTAATTAGGCAGGAAGATGAAGTAAACCCATTCGTGGATTCTCCATCCTCATGCTGGAGAAGCAAAACGTCTTCAAAGAAAAACAAGCCAGTCCAATTGCCTCTTGAAAAAGCACCTTTGGGACGCTTCTGAAATCCTGTCAAGAAAACTTCAGGGAATTGTCCAGGAGTTAACACTGAGTCAGATGCATACCTCCCCCACCCCTATAGATTAAATAAAATACACAATACATTTTTTCACTTTGTTTTGTTTTCTCTTCTCCTTGATGCCTGTATGACACAAAATATTTCTGCATTTATAACTTCTATTTCTATAGCTATAATTTTTGATGTACATTATAAGAAAATGCATGTCTTCCTAAACAAAAAACAACTAGTCCCAAATCTTTCCTAAAAATTTAACTGTACTTCTACCCTAACATAAAATGTAAATATCAGTTTAGTACTTTAAACAGAAGTGGTAATGTAGGTTTACTACCACCACAATAATACATACTAAACAAATTTATGAAATGCTATGCATTTGGTTTTAAATAGAGGATTCCTGGGACAATATATACCAGGGAATGTAGGATTTTCTAGCTATCATTCTCGGAAGATAAACAGAGACTTTCAATCTCTTCTTCAGTGAAATTTGTTCAAGGACAGTACTCTTCCAGAATTAGAAATCATAAGAAATGAACAACAACAACAAAAAGGTTTCCGGAGAAATGATGGTGAAAGGCAACAACATCAAAATTGGCAGAAGGAACAAAAAATGCCACATGTACAAATATTTTATGAATAAAAAGTAAGGATCATAAAAGTCCTTCATTTCAATGCCCCCAGAATTATCATTTGTTGTAACTAAGCTTTTTAACCATTCTAAATCAATGGGAACAAGTTAACAATAATTAACATATTTCACTGACTTCAGCAGAACTGTAGCATTACCAATTTAATTTAAATTCAGTGTTCACTTTGTTCAGATCCAGTGTTGTGTTGTTAAGATCTGGAATGAAAAGATTTAGACCTAAGTCCATTTACACTCTTGGAAATTCACTGTGTGCAATCAAGCCACTCATTCTCACAGATGAACCACCTTAGCAGGCTATTGCTATAGGAAGATTGTCATTCTAAAGCAGGCATGTCAAACTCATGACGTCATGCGATGTATCGCGACTTTTTCCCCATTGCCAGCAATGGGGTGGGCACGGTTTCAGTATGATGCATCTGGCCTGTGGGCCGGCAGTTTGACATGCCTGCCCTAAAGCCTTCCTGAGCTTCGTAGGATACTAATCTAATCAATTAATCAATAAAAACTTGAGGCTGGCAAAAAGTGATAAAGCAATAGAACCTTAAAGATGTTGAATGCAGTTTTAGTAAAAGCAGACAGTTGTTAAAATTAGAGCCACAAGCAGTAAAAAAGCACAGGTTCTGGATGGCCTTTGGGAAAAAAGTAAGTTATATATTGGCAAAAACTGTTAAATGGTTACTTGAAATTCAGAATCCATATAAATCTGGAGGGCTGTTAACTTATGGTTTAGCCATAAAAATTAATTTATTTAAATTGTAGTATGTTTCATGGTGACAAACCTATTCTATTTTGCCTTAAATCTTTAACTATTCTTCATTTAAAGGCAACTTTCTCTTTGTACATTTTTGTATGCTAACTGGTTTAATAATAATAATAATACTAACAACGTTGGGGACCTTGGAGGTCATCTAGTCTAACCCTCTGCTCAGGGTTATGATATGATATAGGGCAGGGGTAGGCCAACCTTGGCTCTTTTATGACTCGTGGACTTCAATATCCAGAATTCCTGAACCAGCCATGCTGACTCAGGAATTCTGGGAGTTGAAGTCCACGAGTCACAAAAGAGCCAAGGTTGCCTACCCCTGCCCTATATCATTTCGGATAAATGGCTATCCAGTCTCTTCTTAAAAACTTCCAGTGTTGGAGCATTCACCGCTTCTGCAGGCAGGTTGTTCCACTGGCTAGTTGTTCTAACTGTCAGGAAGTTTCTCCTTAGTTCGTTGCTTCTCTCCTTGATTAGTTTCCATCTGTTGCTTCTTGTCCTGCCTTCAGGCACTCCCTCTTCTTTGTGGCAGCCCGAGACATTGGAATACTGCTATCATGTCACCCCTCGTCCTTCTCTTCATTAGACTAGACATACCCAATTCCAGCAACCGTTCCTTATACGTTTTAGTCTCCAGTCCCTTAATCATCTTTATATAGCATTACTGATTCCTTATTAACAAGTATCCAAAAGCATGAATTAAAATCTAATTTGTTATTTATTTTTCTACCTTGGGAGATGTATAAAAATTTTATTCAGATATTTAGAATTTTTTTTAAAGAAAATTAAAACTGAATTTCTGTTTTTCAGTTCGGTGTGTTATATCAGTTGACTTCTAAGACCAGCAAAAGCTAATCATAATCATGGCGATTATTCTATATCCACCAATTCAGTTACACTGAAAATACTGAGGTAGACTTTTATAATAAAACTGGTCAAACAAGAACATTCCATATATCAATTGCAAAAATATAAAAATAAATAAATAAATAAATAGGCAGCCAAATAGCAATTTGAAGAACAAAACATTCCTTGGAACAATTTTATCAGGTGCCATTGATATCAAACTGTGTGAAATGTTTCTTACAAGTGATACCATGGGGAACTATTTTCAGTCTATGTTTTAATATGAAGTATTTAAATTATGAATGCAATAACCTTCTGTGACACATGCAAAGTATTCCATTACTATATGAATTCTACTGCTAATAAGGTCTGGTCAATTTTAAATCATTGGCTTGCATTGTGATAAACAATTTTATCCCAAATGTGAATTAATTATATTAATTTATTAAATATTATTAGTATTAATATAAACCCAAAGGGTAAAGAGAATGAACAAATATGCAAATGGCTCAGTGTAAAATTCTGGATGTCTTCAATTATGAAGTTCAGAATTTAAATCTGCTTTTTTATTCAAAGTCATGATGTTATTTAGCGGAAGAGAATGGAAGGGAATAACAGTACTTGATAAAATTAAAGAATATCTTTTGCAAAGGAACCTGATAATTGAAAAATATGGACAAAGAGAAAATAACAGTACATGAAAAATACAGAAAAATATCTTTCAATGGAAGGTTAGCATGAAAAATAATTCACCAAACTAGAAACTGAGCTGAGGTTTCTAGTTTGGTGAAAAAACAAATATATTGTATTTACCAGATTAACTGAATTCTGGACAACAGTTCACATAATTTTCTATAGTAATATTTAGAATGTATATTATTGGAGGAGTTAAAAACTGTTATTTGTTCATGCATCCAGGTTTCATGTTTTTATTAAATGCTTCATGGTATACTTGTTTTTATTTCCAATTTCAGCATAAAAATAATGCAACATACTGTATTTTATTAAGCAATCTGGATTCAAAACAAAAAAGTTATGCAGGACCTATGTTAATTCTCATGTCACACTTGTCACCAACTCTTTAAAAAAGCAGAGTCCTTTCCTGTATTTGTGCAACAGCCATTACACTTTCTCAGAAAAATCTATTTTTGATTTACTTTGCTGCTTATATGTCCAATATGCATGCCCATATTTGTGCCATAATCCCACTTTCCCCTTTTAACCCAGATTGCTACAAATCCTTGTACCTTAATTTTATAATGTAAATACACAATCAAATGTAAAATGAGTTTGAGTACTTCTGCAGAGGTAAATATATATCTTAGCTCAGTGGTGGCGAACCTATGGCACAGATGCCAGAGGCGGCACTCGGAGCCCTCTCTGTGGGCACCCGTGCCGTTGCCCCAGCCCCGCCTCCCCCCGCAGCCCCCCTGGAGGAGAGTCGCCCTCAGGCGCAGCCCGCACGGAGCAGCACAGCCAAGGACATAGCCGGGCAGCAGGGACAAGACTCCACCCTCGCGCCCCATAGCGTGCAGATGATGCAGGGTGTGGGCGGAGGGCGTGGCTGCCATGGCGCTGCAGGGCTGCCTGGGTGATCTGCGGCAGGCCAGGGAAGCGGTGCGTGGCCGGGCAGGCGGGGGCGGAGCAGGCAGGGTGGTAGGTGGAGCGGGGACGGGGGGAGGTTTTTGGGCACTCGGTCTCTAAAGGTTCGCCATCACTGTCTTAACTTATAATTTAATATTTATGAATATAATATTTATGAATATAGAATACGCACTGTTCCTAAAAGGACATCATGAGGACAACAGTTGAGAAGATGACTTTTGCACACTCTGTCATCACTGAATTTAATTCGCTGACGTGTAGTATCCCCTGCAACATAGAAATATACATTTCCGATTAGAGAATCATATAATATTGTATATACCATTCATACTTTTCATATACTTTCACTTTTGTTCAAAAGAACATTCTACTTTTCACAAAAAGAAAAATATTAAGACTATATCATTTCAGCCTCCGCAATGGATGCAAGTTTCTAAAATAACGTAGGAAAACTAAAAACTCTACACTGGGTGAAAATTCATTGCCTTTAAAGCAAATTTATGAAAGGCATAAATTAATACTCCTAGTAAAATTGGTTATATTAGCAAAACATTTATACCACATTTTCTGATGTTTACTGAATTTCTGCTGTCAGTTCTTCAAGATCTAATTTTTACTTCAGGCAAGGGCAACACATACTGAAGGTATGTATTTCAGTATGTGAAGTACTGTATCACTGGGAAAACAATGTCTGCAAACAGCATTATTCAAGAGAGCTGAAATCCTGTTTGATTATATAACATCTTAAAGATAATTTGAAACTTTTACAAACCTTTATAAACCCCAAAGCATCAACCTGCTTACCACATATTGAAATTCAATTACAAGTTTAATCAGTCACATCTGTGAACAAGGTAGGAAAAGTTTTATCCAAATAATATGCAAAACACTGGCTACTGATTTATTGCAGATTTTCCCCCAAGACAATTTGCAGCAGAATATTCACTGTCTCAGATTTGAAAAAGATAATTCCATAAAATGTATTTTCAGTCTAAAGATGTAGAATCAGATACAATCCTTATATTTCCAGGGTTTTTTAAAATGTATTTTAAATTATGATTATGTAAAATGAAAACCTACTGGTGAATTACTGAAGCAGAATATCACTGCTGGGAAAAAAACAAGAGTTTTGAAACTTTATCCCAACATTATTTATTTCAAAAAGGAAAAAGGTTTAAAATAAAAAATATATAGCCACTACCCTATTCTCATAAACCTAGAAGAATTTAAGCCTATACAGCAATTCTACACTTCAAATTTCTAATCTAACCACCCTATTATGCAATTCCAGAATAACTACTTGCCCTAAAAAAGAACTGACGTAACATTTTCAGATGGGCTGTATTCTGCTCAAGTATTTGTTTCTGATATCAATGTTTATCAAGGTTAGTCAAATAAGCAATTCACAAAGCTTCAGAGTAGTTCAACAATAGGTTTTCAGAAGCTGGGTTTTTAGATTTAGTAATTTTATACTAATGAAAATTTAGAATTGTCTTTAAAATCCACACCTACTACTGCAGAAAATGAGGAACTGGGATATTTTCCCACCAATTTTCCTCTCTTTTTAAAGACACAAATTGTTGGTTCCACATTAACACATCTGAAAAGTTAGCAATAACTCACGGCTCGGCGAATGCGGGGCCTTTCTGACACTCCCTTGCAGAAGTAGGCAGGCATAGATACATTGAACCTTTATAAATAAAACAAGGGGCTATATTGTTCAGTTTGTATATAATAAACTCTGCCAGCATTTTAATTACAGTGTCTAGAAATACATTGTGAAGGTAAAGAGTAATAGGAAACCTGAAGTATTTGTGCCTGGTAGCAATGAGTCAGCTTTGTAGTCAAGGGAGATTTTGTTAGGAAAAGCTATCTAAATTATAGCTGGAAAAATATTTTGATTACTAGGTACCTATGTTCTGTCCATCTTCTGCTATAAGCAATCTAGGAATTTGCTTAAAAATTTTATCCCAGTGCCTAGAATTTCAAATATATTTCCAGCCATGCTTAACACTTTACTTTTTAAAAACCCATTTGTTTCCAGATAAAACTTATCTCAAAATGCAAAATCACTATTAAAATATATTTGCATGGATTAGCAAGTCAACATTTTAAAATACAAATTTTGAAATACAGATTGTTTATCAACATTCAATAACAATGGTAACTGAAAGCAAAATGGGAAACAGCTTTTTCTTTTTACTGTATATTCTATGTGATCAGGGAAATTTATTCTTGCAATTGTCATAATGAATGTATATGAACAAGTTTGGTGTTCTTTAGAAACAGTAACTTCCTTTAAAAAATGTCTGGCCCAAACCATATTTCACTACTTCATAAATATGGAAGCAATTATATACTTGCATCTCATTTTAAAAAAAAATCCCATGGTCAATTGCTACATTATCTTTTAATTTACAACATAATCTCCTGATAATAACAATTAGCTCCCTAAAACATGTGTTCTCCACCAAATAATAATTTAGTGGAATCTGGAAATACTAATCAAATTTCATGTCTTTTACTAATATATATGAATATATTATTTACCCACAATACATTTAACTACATATTCTTCTAGAGAGATAGAATAAAAGTGTGCATATTTTTTCAGCTAACATTCTATTGTTGTAAGCATTCAATTATTTAAATACATTAGGATACATTTCTCATTATTTTGATAGTTTCATATAAACCATGATTTTCCTCCCATCTCACCTACTAATTACCCCAGTAATGTTACTGATATTCCTATTACTGAAATCTTCTTTAGCTTATACAAATCCTAATTTTATGTTATCAAGAAAAGTTAGAATGATGCTAAAAATTAACATGTCAAAATGCATCAACACGGATCAATCGACATGTATATTATAACATTTTAATCTGATATCCCTAATACAGATAGTGTCAGAATCATGTCCACAGAAACCACATGCAGGTCAATACGTAACTCTTTCAATAATTATAGATTGATTTTCTCTGTTAGTGGAGCAGCAATAATCTAAAGAATAAGAGCTGAGAAAGAGGAAAATCTTATATTTTTCACTCCGATAGCTGACTAGATTACTGCTTTCTTACCTCTCTAAAAAAGCAAACATGACTATATGTGTGTGTATTTGTGTATCAATCAAATAGCCTTTAATTCTGTTTGTTGTAACTACACTTAAATGATTACTTGCAAAACCAATTATACAAATTCCTCAAATTCCTACTTCAACAGAAGCTATGTTTCAAAAGAGTAGGACATAAAATATTAAAGACAAAAGCATCAATTGTTTAAAAATAAATGCCCAATTACATGTGATCTTTTTATATCTGATTAACAAGAATATTTTTCTGTTAGCATAACTGTGCATGCATCACTGTGCACAGAATAACAAGTAGGTAGAATCAGTCTATTTGTGAAATAGAAAGATTACACTTGGCATTTACATTACGAAAGACTTATGTAGATATTAAAACTTGTTTAGCCACTTTGAATATTTTTATTACAAAGCTATGCTAAACTAAATATTATTAAATATTATTAAATAAATAATCACTCAAAAATGCTCTTCGTAATTGATTTTACCAATACTGCATTTAAAAAGCCATCCTTTCAACACAAACAATTTCTCTTTTCTTTCTTTAATCAAGGATAAAAATAAAAGACAAAATACATATTTCACTAGATTACTGTTACTTGAAAGTCTGGGAAATTGCTATGCTAAAAAATAAATACAAATAAAAGCATGTTTTAAAAAACTCCACAACAAAGGAATATTTGATCTTCCTTTTCTAGTTATTTGAATAATGTGTATTCTAGCAATTACCTTCATTTAAACAAATCTCATTATATATAGGAACATTATCATAAATATGTGTATTAGTCGTTAGAAATGCATATGTGGACATATATGTATACAAATATGTTTATTCCTTTTAAATCTTTTTGTCTTTGAAAGATTATTTTCATACTGTTCTGAAAATATGATTCTGCTAATAATGCAAAACATTGTTAGCCACTCATGTCTGTTCATAAACAGCAGCATTAGTCTGATAAACAAATCTAGACAGTTTTCTCCCAGCCACAATTTGGTAAATGACGTTTTCTACAGCAAATTATATTTTCTATGGCAATCCCTCACTATATACAGCATTTGCTTTTAATAAATCTTTTTTTAAAAAATTACTCCAATGGTTTCAACAATATTTTTTTATAAATTTTGTTCTACAATATACTGTATAGAAATTATATCTGCATTTATTATGTAACCATTCCTAACATTCTCCTTGCACTCTGATATTTTTGTCAATTATAAATCAGTTGCAAAAAAACTTTTTTGGATTAACAAGTGGTAGAGGCTCAACTACATACATTCTTGTAAAATACTTTTACCTACAGTAATTTTAGTCTGTTTTTTGTCTGAACAGGAGGAACGTGATTCTGGAGCACAACCCACTGAAAGAGATGCTGCCTGATTTGGTGGGATTCTATTATTTCTGTAGTTTTTAGAAAAATCTCAAGTCATCTACAGTAGCGGCCAAAATTGTGGAAACCTTTTGGGAAAAGTATATTTTTGAGATTTGGTTGCTAATACCACTTTCTTTTGTAGTAGTACCATAAAATTCTATATCAATGGAAAGATAATTTAATCAAGAATGTTATGCAATAATTTTTATGAAGGATTTGCTATTAGAATAGCAGTTATAAAGAAGAAAAGTAAAACACGTAGAAAAAACGAGATATACAAAAATTATCACCATAGAAAAAATGAGATATACAAAAATTATCATCATAGAAAAAACGAGATATACAAAAATTATCACCATGTCAATTAATACTTAGTTGGGTAACCTTTAGCATGAATTACGGCCTTACGACGTCTTCCCATGGAGTGAATCCTAACCTTAACCCATTAATCACACAAATTCTGCCCACACCTTTTGATGTCATACAACCCCAGATCATAACACTGACTGGGTGTTTCACAGTACATGTAATGCAATCAGGATGCAAATCTTCTCCGATTCTTCTCCTTACGTATTTTATGCCATCACTACCAAACAGGGAGATCTTGGTCTCATCACTCCAAATAACACTGTCCCATTGTTCCTCTGTCCAGGTAACATGGGCTTTAGCCCAGTTTAGTCTTTTCAATCTTTGTTTGAGAGATAAAAGTGGCTTTTTTTTGTGGAATTCTAGATTTTAGGCCGAATTCCTGCAGTCTGTGCTGAACAGTCCCAGTCCTTGCACTCAACTTCACATTGCATTGCACCATTTCAT